ATGGAGAATCTTTTCACCATCTAAAGGATAGTCCACATCTGGAGGCGGTGAAGGACGCTAGAAGTAAAAATATGTATGTGTTGTTTCCAAGGCCAGAATGGTCATGGCCACTTCTGGAAAGTTCAGGGGGGACTTTCATTCTCTGCTCACCTCAGCACTGCCATCAATGTTGAACTTGGCTGCTTGGATTTTCAGTCCACGTTGGAGATCACTCACAAAACAAGTGCGAACTTCATAAAACAAAAGGACAGAAGAGAGAATTTATTGGATTAACAATTTTGTTTTATTTACAAAACACGTTCTAGGTCCTGACAGTAGAAAAAAGAAAAAAGTAAACAAAACAAAAAAATCCAACCAGGCTTCCATACTCAGCTGAGCTCAGATGTATCTAGGCTCTAAGTTTAAATGAAGCTGACACTACACCTAGGCAAGATTTCTTTCTCAAAAAAGTCAAATACGATGTAAAGACACAAAGACATTATTCATTGTGCCTCTGGTTACCCATGAGGTGGCACGGGCTGAACTCAGCTGTCCAACTCACCACACCAGGTCTTGCACCACAGCTTCCCACAAGATACTGATCCTCTTTAAACAGTCACATGTAATATTGTTCCTAGCACAACTCCGCAACATCCTAAGAACTCCAGATGTTTCTTTCCCCTCTGAGCAGCACTAACAGAGCACAATTTCATTTGTACACCAGCTGCTATTGATTTGTGCCACAAAAATAAGTCAGCATATAATTAGAATCTAGTTCATAAACAATTGTCACAAAGAAACATTCCTTCAATATAAAGCCAGTCGTAATTTCAACCCTAACACTTCACATCTGATTCCAAGAGACTGCCTCAAAACCCATCAGAAAACTGACTTCCAGGCCCAGGAATTAGAACACCAATTTCCATTTGAGAAAGCACTCGTTGCATTCAAGTTACTCTGCATTGGACTCATGGATTTCTTCCTAGATAGGTCCAGAAGACCTATAGCACACATATACACTGATGTGGGCTATTTCCTACAATTATATACATATTTTTATATCAGTTAACATAAGTTCCACCCAAATATATTATCTAAGTATTTCTGGTGTAAAAGAACTCCTTGGCTCAGCGTGACCACCTGATTAACATAGAGATGTCTTTCATACACACTTTGGTTTTTTTGCAAAATTGATCTTAATGTAAACTAAACCTCCCTGGTTAAATGCTATACAAAATCAGTTTAAAATACCCTTATGTCAGAATGCTGATAGCAGCACGTATCTGTGGTAACTACTTTTGAGATGTTGATCTGTTAACTTTAAGTCCGATGTGCAGTAATGACTCCACTCATTCATACACAAAGTGTTGGAAGTTAGAAATGCAACACCATGTCAACTTCACCTGCTGATGGTAGGCTAGATCTGACAGCATAATGCTCCTAGTTCATATTTAGGTAGACGAATGCAATCTCACTTGGCAGCACAAGGACTACATCTAAATGAAAATTGAATGATGTTTGGTGCTTGCCTTCAGAGCGGAAAAACACTGCAAGTGATTCTGGAAGGCACAATATACAAGAAGTCTAATGTGATAAAATAAATTCCTAAACAGACTTGAATGCTTGCAATCATATTCTCTTGTACTAAGCAAACTAATGGCAGGAAGTTTTACCTTTTATATCCTCTACTATGTCTTCTGGAACAGAGCCTGCAGATACAACAACAAAAAAATCACTGAGAACAAAAAGCTTTTTGGAAAGCAAAAAGAGAACAAAAAACCAAACGAATTTTGAATTCCAATTAGGACATTTAAGGTTTCACTTCGACTGAGACCAATAAAGATTTCTAAGATGAAGAACAGAAAGTTTGTGTTCTCTCAAAAGACAATGAAAACTTCCCACAGAACTTTCATCTGAGCTGCCAGTCCAATTTTATTGTAAGTGGCTGATTACAAGAGTAATATGCTTTAATACGGAAACAGAAATCACGAGAGAAGACCACGTAAGATATGATGAATACATCACTATTTCTATTACACTGCAGCAAACAGCCCTTACCCATTACAGATGGAA